CCCATTTTGCTGGTGAAATAACTGACTGTTTTATTGTTTTAGGCTAACATTACCACTCCGAATCCTTTTCATTTGATACTTACAACGGAGGAACTGTGGTCTAATTATAACAAATTTTTAGCAAAATAAAAATGAGTAATAAACAATGATAACAATGATAGTAATATGGAATTTGTATGCATGTTAGAAACCTGAAAAAATCAGTTTGGGTTCTAAATGGCATTTAAGTGCATTTATCCTTTTGATCAGAGTCTAAAGGAATAATAATTTTTGTACTTATTTCTTTATAATCTACATATTGTCTCTTCATTAATGAAGAAAATAATTTGTTATGTTAGATGATGGACTTATTATGCTTTAATATTTTTCATTATGAAAATAGTATGTAATTATACTAGAAAATTTGGAAAAGAATTTTTAAAGTAAGAGGAAAAGTTATTCACAGAACAGCCATCTAGACCACCACTGGCTTCCATTAATGCCTAAGTTTTTGTTGGACTTTTTTCTTACATGGTAAAATTCATCCATATAAAATTTTTTATATTACTCTTTTCACATAATACAATAAGCAGTCCATGCCATTGTTACTTAAGTTTTATTGGCTACATAGTGTTTCACCAGTTATTTATTCCATAGTTTAGGCATTATTGGTATATTTGTTATCTTTACAGCTGTAATAGGAATTTGACTGTTTAGGTGGCTGAAAAGATATTTATTCACTTTCTATCACTGTTTTATTACTATTCATTATTAAATAATTAATAAAGTTTTATGAAGAACAAAATTCAGTAGTTTACATTTTCAAAATAGAAAATTTAGATTTTTTTATTTAAAAAATTCTCCAACAGAACCTTTAAAAAAAAACCTTTAAAACTCAACACAAATCACTAGACTATTTGTTCGTGAACTCATCTACAGTTTTCAAGACAATAAGAAATTCTCCTCTTTGGCACTGGTGTCATTGTTACACATATTGTATAATAATAGATATATAGCGGTCACTGGCCATAAGCTTAGTAAGAACAGCTTGTAAATGTAGGCAGTGAACACACAATAGAAAAATAAAATGGAAGTCAGTGTTAAGCACCAGTCCCTTCTATTTTATTCAGAGATTCATTCATTTATTCATTAAATACTGAAGGGTCAGTAAATAGGTACCAGACATTGGAGAGAGAATAGCTAAATTTTTTTTTTAGCTTTTATTTTTAAATTTTTTTCCCCATATATTTTTACTAGTTGGAGGCTAATTACTTTACAATATTGTAGTGGTTTTTGCCATACATTGACATGAATCAGCCATGGATTTACATGTGTTCCCCATCCCGATCCCCCCTCCCACCTCCCTCCCCACCCCATCCCTCTGGGTCTTCCCAGTGCACCAGGCCCAAGCACTTGTCTCATGCATCCAACCTGGGCTGGTGATCTGTTTCACCCTTGATAATATACATGTTTAGATGCTGTTCTCTCAAAACATCCCACCCTCGCCTTCTCCCACAGAGTCCAAAATTCTGTTCTGTACATCTGTGTCTCTTTTTCTGTTTTGCATATAGGGTTATCATTACCATCTTTCTAAATTCCATATAGGAATAGTTAATATTAAGAAAAGAGATGAGGGCCCTGTCCTCTGTGGCTTTCATTCTAGGGCTGGCTGGGTCGTCTTCAAACCACTTGTCATGGTATATTCCGTGCCCTCTGGGATCTGGCTGCTAATGATGAAGAATCAGAACACTGTGCTGAGTTATTCATAAGACACTGCCGCTTTCTTGGCACTCATGTCCTCTGTGGCAGCTAGTTAATATGAACATGACCACTCCTACCGCTGGGCTTGACGTTATAAAGGGAGGGAACGTTTATGGAAGCTCAGGAAAAGAAAGACATGTGGAGAGACTGTCTTAGCAGCAGCTGTAACTTTTGGTCTAAGAGGAAGCCATTCTGCAGCAACCCCACAGGGAGAAAGCCAGGGATTAAAAAAATGCAAAAAAGACTCATTCCTACTTCCCACTGATCTCCTACCAGGGATTTGGATTGCTCAAATCTAAACTGAAGCTAGGGAGCGAGGGTGATCGTTGATGCAGTTCCTGTAGTCAGATTCCCATGTCCAGGAATTGAGCAGAGAAGAGTAGAATGGATCTGGGGGGACAAACAAAAGCTATTCAGCACAAACCCTGTGAAATGGGCACTATTATTGTGCCCATTTTACAGATGTGGGAACTGAAAGTGTTAGTCGCTCAGTCATGTCTGGCACTCTATAATCCCATGGACTGTAGCCTGCCAGGCTCCTCTGTCCATGGGATTTTCCAGGCAAGAATACTGGAGTGGATTGCTATTTCCTTCTCCAGGGGGTGGGAACTGAGGTACCCATAGTAATGTGCCCATTAGATAATGACGGTGGGTGGTAAAACTGGCATTGAAATCCAGAGCCTGTGTATTTGTACCTGTATGTCTTTTTGCCTCCGTGATCTCTCCCACACAGCAGAGGTCCTCAGTAACACTTTTCGAAAGGAAGGAAAAGGAAAGAAGAAATAAAGGAAACGGTTTGTAAAGATTTAAGTTAGCTCTCTAGAAGAATATCCTGGGTTAACAAAGGCAACAGATCCTCATCTGGCAAATTTTCATGAACCAGAAAAACCCTTGATTTTAAGGATTGCTCAAGTGAACTCTCCCCCTGAAGGCGAAGGGTATGAGTCAGAGAGACTGTAAGCTAGTTCCTGTCTCGGGGATTCTTCCTAACAAAAAAATGTTTTTGTGTTAAAAAAGATGACATAAAATTTACCATTTAAAAGTATACACTTCAGTGGCATTAAATACATTCACGTTGTTGTATAACCATTACCACCACCCATCTCCAAAAATTCTTCACCTTCCCAAACTGAAACTCTGTGCCCACTAAACAACTCTCTATTCCTCCTCCTCAGCCACTGGCAACCATCATTCCTCTTTCTGTCTCTATGCTTTTGACTGCTCTATGTGTCTTAAATGGGGCTTCCCCGGTGGCGCAGCAGTTAAAAATCTACCAGCAAAGCAGGAGATGTAGGAGACCTGGGATCAATCCCCGGGCTGGTAAGATCCTCTGAAGGAGGAGATGGCACCCCACTGCAGTATTCTTGCCAGGAAAATCCTGTGGACAGAGGAGCTTGGTGGGCTACAGTCCACGGGGTCACAAAGAGTCAGATTTATTTGATTTATTTATTTATGTACCTTATATAAAAGGAATCCTGTTGATACAGCCACTATGGAGAACAATATAGAGATTATCTAAAAGCTAAAAATAGAGCTACCATATGACCCAGCAATCCCACTCCTGAGCGTATATTCAGAGAAAACCATAATTCAAAGGATGCACACACTCTGATGTTCGTTGCAGCACTGTTTACAACAGCCAGGACATGGAACCAACCTAAATGTCCATTGACAAAGGAATGGATAAAGAAGATGTGGTACATATACACATTTGACTATTACTCGGCCATAAAAAAGAATGAAATCATGCTATTTGCAGCGACACAGCTGGGCCGAGAGATTGTCATACAGAACGAAGCAAGAGAGAGACAAACACTGCGTAACCCTGCTTGTATGTAGAATCTAGAAAATGGTGCGGACGAACTTATTTGCAAAGCAAAAGTAGAGTCACAGATGTAGAAAACAAATACGTATGGTTACCAAGAAGGGAAGGGAGATGGGATGAATTAGGAGACCGGGATTGACATAAATACAGTGCTTACATTAAACAGATAACTAATGAGAACCTCACGATTAGCACAAGGAGCTCTACGCAACTGCTCTGTGGGGACCTCAATGGGAAGGGAAACGCAAAAAGAGTGGATGTGCGAATATGTATAGATGACTCCCTTTGATGTGCAGCGGAAACTAGCATAACATTGTAAAGTGATGATACTCCAACAAAAAATAATAAAAAATAAAGCAAATCACGTACTATCTGTCCTTTTGTGTCTGGTTTATTTCATTTAGTATAATATGTCAAGGTTCATCCATGTTGTATGCATCAGCAGACGAATGGATGAGGAAGCTGTGGTACATATACACCATGGAATATTACTCAGCCATTAAAAAGAATTCATTTGAATCAGTTCTAATGAGATGGATGAAACTGGAGCCCATTATACAGAGCGAAGTAAGCCAGAAAGATAAAGACCATTACAGTATACTAACACATATATATGGAATTGAGAAAGATGGTAACGATAACCCTATATGCAAAACAGAAAAAGAGACTCCGATGTATAGAACAGACTTGTGGACTCTGTCGGAGGAGGCGAGGGTGGGATGTTTCAAGAGAACAACATCGAAACATGTATATTATCTAGGGTGAAACAGATCACCAGCCCAGGTTGGGTGCATGAGACAAGTGCTTGGGCCTGGTGCACTGGGAAGACCCAGAGGGATTGGGCGGAGAGGGAGGTGGGAGGGGGGACCGGGATGGGGAATACATGTAAATCCATGGCTAATTCACTTCAATGTATGACAAAAACCACTGCAATGATGTAAAGTAATTAGCCTCCAACTAATAAAAATAAATGGAAAAAAAAAAGAATTTCATTCCCTTTTTTTAAAAAAAATCTCAATCCTTTTTAAGGCTATCTATTGCATTGTATGTATACATCACATTTTTTTTCACCGCCATCCCTGCCTCCCTTTATATATCACATTGTAGGTGTTCACCCATCAAAAAACATCAGGGCTGTGCTAATCTTTGGGCTACAGTGGATGAGGCCACCATGAATGATGGTGTTCAAATATCTGTTTGAGCCCCTGCTTTTCATTCTTTCAGACGTACACCCAGAAATCAAATCTGGCATGTATGGTAAATCTATGTTTGGAGTATATGGTAAACCTATGTTTAACTTTTTGAGGAACAATCACGCTCTTTGCATAGCGGCCGCACCATTGGATGATGCCTTCCTGCCAGCAACGCACGTGGGTCCCCGTTTCCGCCTAGCCTTGCCCACACTTGCTGTTTATTTTGTTGCTGCTGGTTTTAATCACCGAATGGATGTGAAGCGGTATCTCGTTTCAGCGTTGATTCGCGCTCTCTCTTCCGGCTGCACCGCCTGACGCGCGGGGTCCGGGCTCCACGACAAGGGCCGCACCCGCGAGGTCACAGCGAGAGGCCGGGGTCCTCGCCACTGGCGCGCCACGCAGCTCCCGGCTCTTCTCTTGGCGACGCGTGTTCGGCCGAGCCGAGTCTCCGTTGCTGCGCCGGCGGCGTCTCTAGCTGTGGTGGTGGGCTTCGCGTTTCGGTGGCCCCTCGCCGTGGGGCAGGGCTCCGGGGCGGGAGCTTCAGTCGTTGCGCTTCTCAGGCTGCAGATCTCGGGTTCAAAGGATGCGGTGCACAGTCCTAGCTGCTCCTGGGCATGTGGGTCCTCCCATCTCCCCTGCTCTGGCAACTGGATCCTTTACCACTGAGCCGCGGGGGAAGCCCACCCCTCCCCTTAAAAAAAAAGTCAAACAGGTGTGTTCTACCCTACACAACACGTCGAAGCCTAAGCAATAATATAAGGAAGCTACAAGGAAATTCACTACACATGAATTGGATCTGCTTCAGAGTATTTTTTGAATTGTGATTTCTGGGGGTAAGTAGCAGTTTGTGGCCTTTGGAGGCAAGAATGCATTTCCTCGATAATTCGGTTCTTTTTGGTAACTATAAATATTCTGGTATGAATTAGCTAAAACATTAAATGTGTCATTTCCAGAAAGAACCATGTTCCTAGGAAAGCGCTATCATTTAGAGATTAGTGGTTTGATTCTTGGATATGGAATTTTACTACAGGACAGCATAGCTAAGAGATGAGGAGGTGTCAAGACCTCATCTAAACCTAATTACCTCCCCAAAGCCCCATCTCCAAATACTACCACATGGGGGCTCAATCAGGGCTTCCACTTGTGGATCTTGGGTGGGACATAATTCCACCCGTAGCAGTTGGGAAACCCACATGTACCACATTTTTCTTTCTTCCAAATATTTGCAGATGATGACACGGTCATGAGCAAACAGGAGGAGGATGACCCACTGGCTGCCTAAACCTTCACTCTTCTTGCTCCGTCTGGACTGACATGATATTGCCTCTTCTTGGGATGCTGCTGAACCACATTCAAGCTTTTGTCTCAAATTGCTAGACCAAAGGTTTCTTCTAAGGAATACTTAAAATGATACAACTGGCATTAATTTTACTATACAAATACTTGTCAATTTTTAATAACAAAATAATTGTTACAGGTTGAATTGTGCTCTCTCACCAGCCAAAAAAAGATTAATTGATATCCTGATCCCTAGTATTTCAGAATGGAAATAGGGTCAGTGCAGGTGTAATGAGTTCAGTGAGGTCATACTTCAGTTAAATAAGATCATACTAATTCAATATGACTGGTGTCCTTTAAGAGATGGCCATGTGAAGACAGAAGATGGGGGTGATGGATCTAAGACAAGAAACACCAATGATCTGACAAACCACTAGAATCTAGGAAGAGGCAAAGAAGAATTCTCCTGCAGGTTTCAGAGGGAGAGTGGCCCTGCTTTGGTTTCAGACTGCTAGCTTTCAGAGCAAGGAGACAATAAATCTCCATTGTTTTAAGCTTTGTAATACTAGTTTGTAATACTTTGTTATGGCAGCCTTATAAAACTAATACAGTTGTCTATCCTCTGGAATTGGGTTGTAATCGGCTACCTAGAGCACTTTATATTCTTATTTTAACTTTGTATTTACCTTATTTTGCTTGTTTTTAAATACGGTGAAAAAACAAATGGTGATCAGAAGTTTACTCTTTATTTTTAAAACTCAGAGCTGGCAAAATGAGTCACAACAAGTAAAAATCAAACAAAGATGAAGGTAATTATGTTGTGTTATTTAATCCAAGAAAATAAAGCATTTGCTGTATAGTGTGGCTTATTGCCAGAGCAGTTGTTGGGAAAAGAGCTATAAGAACATTAAAAATGACACTTACAGAATCAACTATCAAATTATTTGTGGGATGCATTAAAAATGAAATTTTCATCTCCAACTGTAATATCAAAGAACACTATTAATATTGCTTACAATATTAATTATGCAAAGTAGGTAGAGGATCGCAGACTCACAAGTAAATTGCCAATTTAGATAGAAGCTATTCATGCTGAAAAGTCTAAGAGTTAACTTTGAAGTACTGCTTGCTTCAATTACAGGGAGAATCTCAGAGATTCACAGTGGTTTCTAGAGACTTACACTTTGCTCGAATCATTTTTGAAGGTAGAATGTTTCTTTACATCCTATTACATTACAAAATAGAACATACCTTCTATGGACTTTTATAGAAAAAAATCCGAAAATGCCCAAGTCAAGCTCTTTTGTGTGTAAATAACCTTTCTGTTCAATGTGGAAAACAGGAGTCCTGAAGGGAGAAGTGGGAAGCCCTGGTGACTTAGCGGTAAAGAAGCCACCTCCAATGCAGGAGACTTGCAGGACATTTGGGTTCCATTCCTGGGTCAAGAAGATCCCCTGAAGAAGGAAGTGGCAACCCACTCCAGTACTCTTGCCTGGTGTATCCCATTGACAGAAGTCCATGGGGTCATAAAGAGTTGGACGTGATTGAGCAGCTCAACAACACCGACAAATGGAGAAGTGACACGAAGAATGCGTAAGACCTAAATAAGATCTGACTTACTGGTTAGCACTCACTTGCCTGGAAATGGATGGGGGCAGTGACTATCGGGTAACATTTTTGCCTTCTAAAAATACTTACTGTTAAGAGTATGCTGCAAATGTTCTGCCCGATGTCCGAATCCCAGAGCGGGAAGAGAGAAGTTCCAAGACAATGCAATTTACAAAAAGGGAAGTTTTATTACTGACTCGAGTCAGGGCTTTCTGCTGCAACCAACACAGTGGTGCAAGGTCAGAAAAGCCCCGAGCAGAGGCAGTTACCCAAATTTATAAGGTATGCATAAGCGGTTAGTAGCTGGCTTAAGCGGATTGGTTACATGTTTGCAAAGCAATTTTATTGGTACAAACTTTCACGGGCTTTTGTTTAAACTTAGGCATCCGCGGGCTTTTTAGCTCTCCCTTTGTTTCTTACTGGGCGCATATTGATTGGCTGGCTCCAGGTTACCTGATGGGGTCGGGGAATCTCACCATTTCACGGGAAACCAAAACCCAGGTGCCGGCCGCCTGCTAGCCCCGGCAGCCCCACAGCAAAGATATAATCAGGATAATCAACAATGTACAACACACACACGCTCTCTGTTCTTCACCAACTCCAAGGCAGTATAATCTTTCTGCTAAACAAGTTTGACCCAGCACCTTTTATGTTCTGAGGACGCGAGCAATTGAAGACCCTCTTCATGGAGCTACCATTTCAGTAGAGCAGACAAAAAAAAAAAAAAGGTATATTGTTCCATGATATGCTCTACCAAATTGCTTGAAGACCTATGCAACCAAAATAATGTAAAGCATCATATGAGGAAGTAAATTTGATGGTTTCAACAAATTTATAAATTTAAGGTCATATTTTAAAGTCTACTCCTTCTGGGATCATTGTGACAATAACAGAGTGGTATTTGTCAATAGTGCAGTTTTGTTGGCAGCTTAGCTTAAAACAAACAGCCAAGGTTGTTCTTTTTTTTTCTGTAATTTTATTTTTATTTTTTTGGCCTCACAGTTTGAGGGATCTCAGTTCCCTGACCAGGGATTGAACCTCTGCCTCCTGCAGTGGAAGCTCATATGGAATCTTAACCATTGGGCACCAGGGTAATCCCCACAGCTGTTCTTGACAATTCTTTTTTGCCACACAGAAGTTCTTTCCACTTGCAGCAAATGTAAACACTGTTTTTGTTTTGGGCCTCTCTTGTCCACAACATTCTATGCTATTCTACTAATGTAGAGGAGATAACTTTCGGAGGGCAAAAAAGGACTGTATGAATAGAGATTGAACTGTCAATTTTCTAGTAACAGAACAAAAGGGTATGGGCCCTTTGTCTACTTTTGATAGTTCCACGAAAGGCCTACTGGGGGAAGAAACATTGGATCTGAGTCATTCTCACAAGGATACCCTGGAGGAGGACATGGCAACCCCCTCCAGTACTCCTGCCTGGAGAATCCCACGGACAGAGGAGCCTGGCGGGCTGCGGGCCATGGGGCCGCAAACAGTTGGACTCGACCGAGTGGCTGAGCGCAGCACAAGGGCCTCATTTTCCTCGCATTTCCTTTCACAGCTCTTCTGATTGGCTCCCGACTTCACTCATCGCTCCCCACAATCTTCAGAATCAGGTCCAAAGATAATTGTCAAATAACTCAGGAAATCAAGACAATAACTGAATTTGCAATTACCTATGCAAAAACCATTTGGTCTTTCCATAAAAGCAAGGAATCCATTCTGAAATTCTTGTAGGCACGCCCTCCATTCTCCAGCACCCCGTAAGTGTCCTGATTCTTGGTTTCAGGCAAGAAGATTCAAATCTGGCTGTTTTAAGAAGAAAAGGAATGTACTAAAGGATATTGAACAGTTCAGTTGAAGAACATAGCCTAGAGACTACACAGCTGGAACAATGCCCCAGGTCATGCTCTGGATTGGCCCCAAGAAGCCACCACCGAAGCCACACTGGGTCCAGATACTACAAGATAACTTGAACCACCTCCATACCCAGAGCAGAACATGGAACGCTTGGGCTAAAACCACAGACAGCCCTTCACACCGCGTTTATCTGCTAACTCTGCTCCCACTCTTCTGCAGGATTTTCCTCAGAGTCTGCATCTTCCAGCACTGTTTTTTTTGGGACAGGAACACCGCTGAAGGCCTGGCCTGAGCTGCAAGGGAAATGAGGAATGGATATTTTCAGGTTCCTGGGTAGACTGTGCCTCAAATGGTAGGAGAAGCCTCTCTCTCACTGAGGAAGGGGGTTCTGATGCAATAGCAAATACCTCCCTTTCTGGCGAAACTGAAGATGGAGTCACCAGGCCCTGAGGAGCAAGCATGCGAGCTCAGAATGGGCTCCAGGAGAGGGAGATGCTTCCCACGGCTCCCCTCACCCGCCTCTCCAAGCAGGTAGACACAGCTCACTCCTAAGAGAGGACTTAGAGTTGTCCCGTCCCACGCGGTGATCTGAGCTGGAAGGCCTTCTGCCGCTTAGCCCGCATGACTCACGTGTGAAACTGAAAGTCGCTCAGTCGTGTCCAGCTCTTTGTGACCCCAGGGACTGTAGCCCACCAAGCTCCTCTGTCCCTGGGATTCTCCAGGCAAGAATACTGGAGTGGGCTGCCAAGTCCTTCTCCAGGGGATCTTTCTGACCCAGGGATTGAACCCAGGTCTCTTGCATTGCAGGCAGACACTTGACCATCGGAGCCGCCAGGGAAGACTGCGTGACCAACAAGGTCTAACTTAA